GTTTACCTTCACAGACATAACCGACTGTTTTTGTAACTCGTGTGTTTTTAACGTGAGAACTTTTAGTACGTTTAGTACTCACATGCTGTGATAGCCGCTTTCTGTGCGTGTGCTTCGGATGTGTGCACTCAGAAAACTGTATATCAGAAGTTTAAACTCAGCGTGATAAACATGATAATCAGAACCAAAACATGTTTTTAGCAGGTCCGAGCTGTAATGGCGCAGCTCTATTCTGGAAAAGGGGGCGGGGAGCAGCAGCTTATTTGCATTTAAAGACACAGGCCCGAAAAACAGCGTGTTTCTGCTTCCACTCAAAATAGGCATTTTCAAAATGATATAATAAATGATTTTGAGCTGAAACTTCACAGACACGTTCTGGGGACACCAGAGACTTATATTACATATTGTAAAAAGGGGCATAATATGTCTCCTTTAAAGATGGTCATTTGTCGCCACTTACTGTTTAAAAGTAACTTGCAGAAACAACGTATCTGTAATGATTGGTATTTGCAAACACAAACAAGCAAAAAAAAAAAAGTTAATAGAGCTTTTATTCTCATATAAGTGACTTGTAATCAGCAGTTTTACATTTTGTTGTTGTGCCTAATTTGATTACGTTATTCACAGTGCTTTATGTGTGATAGTAGTAGGTCATTTCCTCATCACTGCTGAGTTTTTAAAGCCTTTTTTAAATTTAAAGTTTATAATGTTGTGTTTCATCTTGGAGCAGGTTTTGGTTAATGACTTGGAAGTCTTTACTAAAGGTTTTGTTTTTAAATCCCTATGGGAAAATTACTGTAGTTGTTGGGCTCTCTTATGCTTTAAAAAAAGTGGCACAGAAAGGCCTTGTTTAGTTTCTTGAATATATGAAGTTTAAGCTCAGGGGGGAATCGGTCCATTAAGCTGTCAGTTCAGAGCAGAGCTGCTTTTAAAGGGTGATTTCCAGTTCAGATGGAAGTTTTAGCGGCTGACAGATTTGGTTTGTGCTTTGCCTTTTAGCTTTTGGGCTTTTAGTGGACTCGCTCATTTGAAAGTTGCTTTGGATAATGTGAATGGTGTCTTAAAAGACTACAATTTTTGTTTATTTACTGCGTTCAGTTTGTAGTCATGAATTAAGGTGTGTTCATTTGCACCAACTTTAATTTTACTTTAAATTTACAAAATTTTAATTTTCTTCTAAATATAAACTTCGTCTCTGTTTCTCTTAAAAATAAATGGACATTAATATCAGATTTTAAGACATTGTTAGATCTATTGTTAAAGTCTAGAGGAGATGCATTTTAGATTATGTAGTGTTTGATCGATATGGGTTTTTCAATGCCTGATATTGATAGTATAAAGTGCTGTATTTCTGAATTGCTGAAATGACAAAAATCTGAAAACGTGAGATTTAAGCAAAAGCATCAGTTGGCTTTTCATTTAATCTGATTGGCATTTAGGAGAAACAATTGATGTATTTAATAGGTCTCATTTGTGGTTTTCTTTCTGATGAATGAATGTTGCATTTGGGATCTTTTTAGTGCTTGCAACTATTGCAGATGCTGTAATTCCAGGCACTTTCTGGCAAAATGTCATTGTCACAATTGACGTTATTTGTGTAGGAGAGCAATTAGCTCACTATTGATAATTAAGCAATCACATTAGCATAGAGGACTGACAGATGAAGATTGTGTTGACTCACTTTGAGCTGATTTTTCTTTTTTTATATTATGACTTTCATTTGGGAGGCAATTTTACAAAATGTCAAGCACCTCTTTTCTGTCATTTCTGTTGCATAATTATAAATCTCATTATGGTGCTGTAAAGCAAAAAGCACAAACATGCTTTTCCATGCCTGAACTTCACTGTTTTTCCCCAGCACTTTCACAATATAGCATGGTCTCAAGTGTCATATGCTTTTTATTTTTATTTTTTTAAAGGCAACTGCATAATAAATGGGACAACAATAATACTAAAGTAGTTCACCCAGAAATTAAAATTTGCTGAAAATTTCCTTCCTTTCAGGCCATCCAAGATGAATTTGTTTCTTTATCCGAATAGATTTGGAGAAGTTAAGCATTCCATCACTTGCTCACCAATGGATGCTCTGCAGTGAATGGGTGCCGTCAGAATGAGAGTCCAAACAGCTGATAAAAACATCACAATAATCCACACCCCTCCAGTCCATCAGTTAACATCTCGTGAAGTGAAAAGCTAAATTTTTCTAAGAAACAAATTCTTTAAGATCTCTTCAACTTCAAACCGTTGCTTCCAGCTAAAATACGATCTGTGCATATTTCTCTCCTGATTCAGATGAGACAGATCTTTTCTGGAAGCAATTGTTTGAAGTTAAAAATGTCTTAATGATGGATTCGTTTCTTACAAACACACAGCTTTTCACTTCACAAGACATTAACTGATGGACTGGAGTGGTGTGGATTACTTGTGGATTATTGTGATGTTTTTATCAGCTGTTTGGACTCTCATTCTGACTGCACCCATTCACTACAGAGGATGCATTGGTGAGCAAGTGATGTAATGCTGCATTTCTCCAAATCTGATGAGGAAACACTCTTCTACATCTTTGATGATCTGAGGGTGAGGACATTTTCAGAACATTTTCAGGTGAATGTTACTTTAATGCTTGGTCTCTATGGTTGCAGATTACCCAAATTCCACAGGAGCATGTCCAACATGCTTTACAACAACATGTAATAAACACAGACAGTTACTGATTCTATCTTCTATGCCTGTCATGCTGGATTTCCTTTTCCCCTTTAACATAGCCCAGGCTATCGTTTTATCGCTAAACGCCGTAAGACGTCTTGTTAGGCGATTGTGGCATGGATGCGTTTTGTGACCTGTAGCTAATGGCTGATGAAACGACGAGGGGCGATTCGGACTCGGACTGGCACACTCACTCTGTCCGCCCACTCGCTGACCTTTCACCCACTCAGCACACTTATGTATCCACTTCTCCGCTCTGCTTTTCATGTGCTGGTCTCTCTCTATATCCCGCGGTTGGTTACTCAGACTGATTTCATCTCCTCTGCCTCATGTTCTCTCACAAAGGTCTTCTGATTCTCCTATTTTATTTGATTCTGCCATTTTGCACGTAGCAGTTTGCTTAGTGCTGCATTCAAAATGGGTTGCATGAGCTCAATCTGATTCCTTTATTCTTTTTGTAATGCTTCTTACCCGTATGAATGGTTTGCCGTGTCGAACACAGGAATATTAAAATAATATAACCTTATAAATGCCTTTAAATGATCAAGGTTGTCAAATCTTTGATGAAAAACCTGTTGCACATAATCTACTACATGCTTTCTGTCATCTGATTGATAGTTTAGATTTTTTTTAATAAGGCCTTTTAGTATAATTGCAAAAAATGTCCACTTTCATATATATATATATAATTTATTTTGTCGGACTTAACAGGATTAAATTGCACTGCAAAACTTTGGATAAAAGCATCTGCTACTTACAGTACTTGTCCATATGAGCTAAATAATAAAACATTTTGACCGTGTTTCTGTTCTTTATAGACATGGATGGAGAGGACAGTAACTAAAGTGCCATTTTAACCATTTATGACCCCACAGGAGTACCACGCTCAGCTGGAGGAAATGCGCGTTTCTATTCGTCAGCTGGAGGAGAACCTGTCCGCCGCTCGCCGCCGCAGCGACCTGTACGAATCCGAGCTGAAAGAGTCTCGCCAGACCAGCGAGGACCTCAAGAGGAAGGCTGTGGAATACCAGCAGAAGATTCAGAAGGTTTGTTCACGTTCAAAGCGAGAACCGTCCTGCTGATGCACGCTAGATGAGATGCGATCAGTCTATGTTTTGATTCTGCAGGCCAAAGAACAAGGCAAAACTGAGATGGAAGAACTTCTGACCAAATTACAGAAGGTAATTTAATCACTATTTACTTACACCGTTTCCATTTGCTGTTAAGAAGACCAACATATTTTGTTGCTAGACTTCCTAACTTGCATAACCAAAAATACCTCCATGGTAAATGAGCAAAAATGCCATGCTGATTGACCAGCACTAACCAGTCTGGAGCAAGTGTCTAGTGCAATCGCTAATGCAGCTGTTTTTGTATTTAAGCTTCTTTTATTTGTAAATGTCTCAGACCAATGCAGAGCAACAAGTGAAGGTTGAAGAACTCCAGGAGAAGCTTGCCAAGGTACTGTGCACATTTATTTAAAAATCAGCCCTTCTCGAAGAACTGAAAAATTATTATTATTAATATTATTGATTTAAAGGGTTAGTTCACCCAAAAATGAAAATTAGCCCATGAATTACTCACCCTCAAGGCATCCTAGGTGTATATGACTTTCTTCTTTCAGACAAATCCAGTCGGAGTTATCTTAAAAATTGACTTTGATCTTCCAAGCTGTTTAATGGCAGTCAGTGGGTGTTGCGGTTCATCAGTCCAAAAGAAGTGAAATAAAGCGCATCCATCCATAATAAAAAGTCCGCTCTGCTTTTCATGTGCTGGTCTCTCTCTATATCCCGCGGTTGGTTACTCAGACTGATTTCATCTCCTCTGCCTCATGTTCTCTCACAAAGGTCTTCTGATTCTCCTATTTTATTTGATTCTGCCATTTTGCACGTAGCAGTTTGCTTAGTGCTGCATTCAAAATGGGTTGCATGAGCTCAATCTGATTCCTTTATTCTTTTTGTAATGCTTCTTACCCGTATGAATGGTTTGCCGTGTCGAACACAGGAATATTAAAATAATATAACCTTATAAATGCCTTTAAATGATCAAGGTTGGTTGTCAAATGATGAAAAACCTGTTGCACATAATCTACTACATGCTTTCTGTCATCTGATTGATAGTTTAGATTTTTTTTTAATAAGGCCTTTTAGTATAATTGCAAAAAATGTCCACTTTCATATATATATATAATTTCTTTTGTCGGACTTAACAGGATTAAATTGCACTGCAAAACTTTGGATAAAAGCATCTGCTACTTACAGTACTTGTCCATATGAGCTAAATAATAAAACATTTTGACCGTGTTTCTGTTCTTTATAGACATGGACACAGAGGACAGTAACTAAAGTGCCATTTTAACCATTTATGACCCCACAGGAGTACCACGCTCAGCTGGAGGAAATGCGCGTTTCTATTCGTCAGCTGGAGGAGAACCTGTCCGCCGCTCGCCGCCGCAGCGACCTGTACGAATCCGAGCTGAAAGAGTCTCGCCAGACCAGCGAGGACCTCAAGAGGAAGGCTGTGGAATACCAGCAGAAGATTCAGAAGGTTTGTTCACGTTCAAAGCGAGAACCGTCCTGCTGATGCACGCTAGATGAGATGCGATCAGTCTATGTTTTGATTCTGCAGGCCAAAGAACAAGGCAAAACTGAGATGGAAGAACTTCTGACCAAATTACAGAAGGTAATTTAATCACTATTTACTTACACCGTTTCCATTTGCTGTTAAGAAGACCAACATATTTTGTTGCTAGACTTCCTAACTTGCATAACCAAAAATACCTCCATGGTAAATGAGCAAAAATGCCATGCTGATTGACCAGCACTAACCAGTCTGGAGCAAGTGTCTAGTGCAATCGCTAATGCAGCTGTTTTTGTATTTAAGCTTCTTTTATTTGTAAATGTCTCAGACCAATGCAGAGCAACAAGTGAAGGTTGAAGAACTCCAGGAGAAGCTTGCCAAGGTACTGTGCACATTTATTTAAAAATCAGCCCTTCTCGAAGAACTGAAAAATTATTATTATTAATATTATTGATTTAAAGGGTTAGTTCACCCAAAAATGAAAATTAGCCCATGAATTACTCACCCTCAAGGCATCCTAGGTGTATATGACTTTCTTCTTTCAGACAAATCCAGTCGGAGTTATCTTAAAAATTGACTTTGATCTTCCAAGCTGTTTAATGGCAGTCAGTGGGTGTTGCGGTTCATCAGTCCAAAAGAAGTGAAATAAAGCGCATCCATCCACAATAAAAAGTGCCTCACAAGGCTCCGGGGGGTGAACAAAGGCCTCCTGTAGCTTGCGCCAACTTACTTTAATCTAGCTTGCTCTCACTGTTGTACACGGAAGCAGCTCTGGGCGGATGAAGACGTTGGCGCACATGCGTCGCTCAGAAGTGACAAACGCGGAAGCGCAGCGGAGAGATCAAAACAAAACAATGGTCGCTTATTAGAAGTACAAAATGAGGATTTGTAAAGAAGAATGTCAGAGGATTTCGATATAAGCCAAGAGGAGACTGGTTTTCCTTTGCTAAAGTAAGGAAACTTTGCTTCCTTTGATCCTGTTTTCACGAGACTCACTGGCGCATGCGCAGCGCTGAACTCATACGTCATCCCGGAGCCGTGTGAGGCACTTTTTTATTATGGATGGATGCGCTTTATTTCACTTCTTTTGGACAGATGCACTGCAACACCTGCTGACTGCCATTAAACAGCTTGAAAGATCAAAGTCAGTTTTTAATATAACTCCGATTGGATTCATCTGAAAGAAGGAAGTCATATACGCCTAGGATGGCTTGAGGGTGAGTAAATAATGGGCTAATTTTCATTTTTGGGTGAACAATCCTTTAACTGCATCGATGCTGTCATTGAACTGAACTGAACTGATAATGATAATAACTTTGCATCATCAACACTGTTATTGAATTGAATTGAATCAACACTGAACTGACTTGAACTGAATAACAACACTATTGTCTTTTGTAGAGCTGCTTTATGGCTGAAATATAAATTTGTTTTATAATTGATTAATTTTACAACATTAACACTTTTATTTTTCTGTTTATTTGAGTAAAGCTGCTTTGAAACAATCTGTATTGTGTAAAGCGCTACATAAATAAATGTGATTTGACTTATCGTGGATCACACAGCAGTAGTTAGATGATAGCTAATCTATGACCCCCAAAAATAAAAAAAATATCCTGTTAAATTTACGGTAGAAAACTGGTAGCTTTAGTTGCCAGAAATTCAAAGTAAAATACAAATAAAAACAGTGTTTCCGATATTACAAAATGAAATACTGATGCCTATATATATGTTTTATAACTTATAACCATATATTTAAGTATGTAATGTTATAATATATAAAGCTAATTGTAATAAACAAAATCTGCTTATTACCTTAAAATGTAATAATACAAAACACTGTAAAAAAAAAAATTTTTTTAAAGTTAAAGTAAATAAAACAAAGATATTTAGATTGTTTTACAAGAAAATACTGTTTTAGGTTTTCTACTTCATATGTCTTGTTTAATTCATAAAATCGTGCAACAGTCCTTTTACTGCTTGCACTGTAAATTATGTTAATTAATAGTTTGTACTTTCAAAAACTATAAATTTGACTGTAATTTACTTTATAATTACATACAATGCCTTGTTGAAACATTTACAGGTTTATTTACAGTCTATGGTAAGGTCATTTACAAACCAATTAACAGGTTTTTACTGTAGCAGTTTTAGTCTTTTTCTGTACATTTTTTACAGTGCTGTTTCCCTCTCTCGCAGGCCGTGAAGGCGAGTACAGAAGCCACTGAACTCCTGCAGAACGTCCGGCAGGCTAAAGAACGTCTGGAGCGAGATCTGGAGCATCTGCAGACCAAAGAGGACCCCACCGACAGCCTGCGCAGACGCCTGCGAGACACTGAGGTGATGCACTGCACAGCTTCTCCAGACACTTATCACTGAATGTCTGAATGAATTCAGAATGACTTGATTTACAAATATAATGATTATGATTAGATCAGATTCAACTTTATTGTCATTACACAAAGAATAAGTAGGAAACAATTTCTGTAGTTCAAACAGTAGATCCTGAAGGGATTAAATACAATATAGACATTGAATGCAGTGTTACTCGCTTGGGATAAAAGCATCTGCCAAATGCATGAATGTAACTGCAAATCTAAACATCATAATTAATTAACCAATTGTAATCCACTTTTGCTGACATTTAGCCTCAAGCTCACAACTGATTGGTTCATTGTCGATGACTATTCTGATATGATTTTCCTTTTTCCATTCTTACTTCGTATTGTTGTCTTGTTTTCAAGTACAAATATCTAAATATTCCTAAATGAAGATATATTTACTTAAGAAAAACAATGACATCAGGTTTTAATTTTGCATCTCAAGTAAATGAATCTTGATTAAAGAATGATTAGATATTTCTACTGGGAAACAAGTCACAAATTTTTTTCACAAAAAAAAAAAACTGGATAAGAAATTGCTTAAAAGCAGAAAGAACATATGCCAGTGGGTAATAATGATATTCTTGTTTTTCCTTTGAATTAATTTTATTTTTCTTACCCCATTGGTAGATATTTTTTATTGTTTTAAGCATAAACTCACTTAATTTTGATATGTTTCAGGAAACAAGTCTTAATTTCTTTTAAAAAAAATAGCCTCTGAAGTCAAATTATTTTGATTAAATAATGTTTAGACATTTATATTGGAAAACAAGACAAAAATACAAAGAATATTTTTTGCAGGTATTTAGTTTTTTTTTTTTTTTTGAGGAATATTTAGATATTTGTACTGGAAAACAAGACAAAAAACCTAAGTAAGAAAATTTTTGCAGGGTATTTTGTTTTGTTTCATGGAAGAAAAAATCCTTAAAACAAGAATATCCTTGTTTTCCCTTTGAATTAATTTTATGTCTCTTACCCCATTGGCAGATATTTTTCTTGTTTTAAGCATACACTTCCTTAATTTTGATACATGTTTCAGGAAACAAGACTTAATATCTTAACTAATTTTCCTTCTCAAGTAAATATATCTTGATTTTAGTGCTGGGCGGTATGACCAAAAATTTCTATCACAGTATTTTTAAAAATTATACCGGTTTCACGGTACATGACGGTATTATATGACCAAAAATTTCTATCACAGTATTTTAAAAAATTATACCGGTTTCACGGTACATGACGGTATTTTTTTTTCATGCATGACCGGGTGTTAACCATATTTTCTACTGATTGAGAGGAAATACTGCAGTATATTGACTTAGAATGCCCTATTTTACTGTCATGTTTATCCAAAAAAGTAGCTAGGTTTGTCAGCATGAATATTCTATAGCGGAATAGCAGGAAAAAGCCGCTAAAAGGGTCTGAAAGTTGCTAAAGTCGCGCTCGTGTGTGTGTGAGACGCGGGAGCTGATGGCAGGGGGCGGGGGATATTTGATATTTGTCAATGTGGATATTGTGGATGAGTTCTTCTGTGTCATCATGTTCTATTAGTTCTACAGCTTCAGTTTCTGAACTTTCACGCTTAGTAACACATACAGCTGTGCCCTCACCACAGTGCAACAGTGAAAAGGGACCCCTTTCAAACAGTGTCGCGTTCCGAACGTTGTTTAAGCGACATACACCGGTATTGCGGTATTTTAAAAATTCATATCATAACAAAAATAAACACCGGTATTCGGTATGAACCAGTATACCACCCAGCACTGCTTGATTTAATGTTTAGACACTTATGCTGGAAAACAAGACAAAAGCACTAAGTATGATAATCAATTTTTGTGGTATGTAGACCATCTCAGGTCATCGTTTACAGTTTAGACACAGCGCAATCTTACTTTTAAAATCGGATTTATTAATAGAAAGTCGTGGCCTAATGGTTAGAGAGTCGGACTCGTAACCCAAAGGTTGCGGGTTCGAGTCTCGAGTCTCGGGGTTGTAGGTGGGGGGAGTGGATGGACAGC